CCTATGTTGGGCATTCATGGTTTCCATTTCTTTCCTATGCTGGGCATTCATAGCTTCTGCCATGGTCCTGAGCTCATCTATTTTTTATCTGTTTCTGTTCTAGAGTATCAATTATGTCTTTCATTCTTCTCACCATTTCTGTAGTTATCTGGGAAATTGTTTCTGTTTTGAATTTTTCTAGCACCTGATTGATCTGTTTTGTTACTTCCTATGCTATGAGTTCAGGGTGTCTTGGTGGTTGATTGTCAGACCTTTCCACCTTATTTCCCCTAGAATTTCCCATTGGTGAACTGGAAGTCTGTATTTGTGCTTTCTTTAAGTGTCTTCTCATTTTTATTTTTGTTGTTGGGCTGTCCTTGGCTTAATTCCTGGGTTAGTACTTTGATGTTTCTGATATAGGTGCTCTTTAAGTTTTGAGTCTCTAAAAACTCAGAGACACTCTCATTTTCATAATGTCAGAAAGGCCAACTCATTAAATCAGTTAAAACCCTGTAAACCAGTTGATATAATCAGCAACACAACAGCATCAAGCACAGCTTCGAAATTGCCTTTTTGTTGTAGTTATTAATCTATCACCTTCAAGCATGTGAATTAAATCAAAGTCAAAGACCAGCCCAAAATATGTTTATAATGAATAAACTCTTTACTATAGCAACTTTACCTTTCAGGATGGGGACTTAGAAGTTGTTGGGAGGAGAGGAATAGATAGGTAAAAATATAGGAGATGGTTTCAAGGGAAGCCAGAGGACACAGGATGATCATGCAAACTCTAGGAAACTGTTGAAGACAAGAGGGAAAGACAGAGTGCGAGAGCAAAGACAAGAATAGAAGAACTTAACAGTAATAGGGAAGCTATAAATTTTACTCACTTTTTTTGGAAACTAATGACAATTGAATGAAGGAAAAAGAGAAGAAAGAGAACATCTGAACTACAGCAGGAACAAAAAGGGAGATGAATAACATGGAGCAACAGATGGGAAAAAGGAAGAATTTGAAGAATGGGAAAATATAAAATTTTTAAATTAAATATTGAAAGTAAGAGGAAAAGAAAGAAAGAAATTTAAAGAGCCTCTTTCAGTGTATATCTATGCTGTCACAATAGACAATGTGCGTAGCAGTGTGCAGAACTAAGTCAATTAGTCTCAGTCAACAGCAGACCCCTGAGATTTAGGCTAAATTCTGGCTGCAAGGCCTAAGTTGAGCCCCCTGACCTACTGCAGGGTTAAACTCTGCAAAGTTCACCTGCAGGTTCTAGCTGCCCTTCCCCCAAAGATAGTCCAGGTTCTAATGGAAGGTGGTAATCCCTCCACTTACCAACTACAGAGGTCTGATGTGCCTTTATTGCAGTTGTTCACTTCCATTCTATCTTCTGGGGCTCAGTAAAATGGCCTTTATGACCACCTGTGCTTCTGCAGTGTGGATCCAAGTACCTGCACAACTAGGAGTCCTGAGAGCATGAGGTGGGGGGAGAAATGATGCAGAGGCACCTGCGTGGCTGGGTGGTCCTCACTGTTCTGCTCCAATGACAGCCTGAGGCACTGGAGGTGGGGGAGTAGCCAGCTCCCCACGTGGCTGGGCAGTCCTCACCAGTCTGCTCTGATGAAGGCCTGGGGCTAAATACAGTAATTATAAAGATAAATTACTTAAGAATCTGGCCTTAAGCTTTTTACCTGAATGGACTAAGCAGTAGTTACCACTAGTGTTTGTTATCACCATTTTGCTTTCATTAGATTTTTCCCAGATGAGTTTGTTAATATAAGATTTTAAAAAAATTCTTACTTTCTGAAGTCCTGACATAATTGGCCAGTACCTACATTATTTTATTTCCCTTAATAATAGTGTGTGGAACAGGAAAAATAAGAGTGTACTTTGAATGTATGATACCTCAATTGAAATATTTGAAAGTATTCCTTTAACTGGTATTCTGGATGATGAACAATTTAGGAAAATACACTATAGCAAAATTTTAGATTGGTGAGAATGTTCCATCTTTTTTGTGAAGCTACAGGAGGGATATAACCTAGGATTTAGGGATGAAGCAACATGATGACCTTGATATTGTAGTAACTAGCCAGTAGCTGTGGAAATTAAGGACCTTGACATTGATTCTCTTAAAGCCATCTGGACTGTGGTATGAAGACTCCTGAATTGAGATTTAATTTTTTATCATTGGGTTATAGATTTCAACTCTCTGCAGTGTAGTTTTCATCTATCTTTTATTTTCGTGACCTTTAAAAACTTTCATCATCGTGTATTTCAACTTGCTTCTTTTTTCTGATGTGTAAAAGTGAAGGGCCGGGGATTTAGCTCAGTGGTTCAGTGGCCTGCCTTGCAAGTGCAAGGACCTGAGTTCAATCCCCAGTACCAAAAAAAATAAAAGTGAAGTCTTTTCTAGTCTTCCTATATTCAATAGAGCAATTTTTTCTTTTTCTTTCTCCTTTAAAAGGTTATTATTATTATTATTATTATTATTATTATTTATGAACCACTCCTGTTTTTCATTTTCTTCTGTTCTATCTATCACATTTTGTCTCATGTGGTCTTTCTCCATTCAAAACACTTCTTCGGATATATTACAAAAATGTAATTGCAAACTGGAACATCCTCATATTTGAATAAAGAAAGAGAAATGATAATGAAACAAAATGAGAGCAGAAATTTGATATGTTTTTCTCGTTATAGGACATCTCAAATTGATCATAGTGAACAAATTGAAAGAGGAATGTAATTTCTTCAACACCATCTTTAATAAAACTGCTGGTTAAAAGAGAAATGCCCAGTTTCTTGTTTCTAGTCAGGCATGTAAGAAGCTTAGAAGATGCCCCTCCCTCCTAAAACAATAAATTGAACAAACTAAAAAATCAAGTGATCTTGTCAACCCTGAGAAAACTGAAGTCACTTGTGAAACTGTTGTTTTTCTAAAGCTGGAGAGATAGAAAACCAAATACATAATCAAAGCATATCAAAGTAGAAACCCCTGTGGGAATCAGTGACAGAGTAGGATAACCTAGGCAGTCATTGACAGTTGCCAGAGGCTTGCCGTGGACGAGTCTCAGGGATGAAACAAAGAGCCAGTCATAAGATGATCCCCACACTTCTCTAAGTTTTACCTCCAGGAGGTCAGCCAGGATTGTCACAGTAAATATTGGAGAGCTGTCTAGTCTCCTTGTGCTTCTGGTAGGGGGAGATGAAAAGTAATCATTTTGAAATATATAAGAAAAGCATATTCTTGTCGGGCGTGGTGGCACACGCCTGTAATCCCAGCACTTGGGAGGCTGAGGCAGAAGAATCGCTGTGAGTTCGAGACCAGCCTGGGCTACATAATGAGTTCCAGGTCAGTCTCAACTACATAGTGAGACCCTGTCTCAAAAAAAAAAAAAAAAGAAAGGAAAGAAAGCAAGCAAGCAAGCAAGCAAGCAAAGCAAAGCAAAGCATGTTCTTAACAAAATCTGACCTTGGCAAAAACTGTTTAACCAGACCATAACTAAAGATAGATTGACCTGAGGAAGGAAAATACCAAATTCCAGCCAATTCTCTCTATGTCAAGAAAGGAAAACATCCAGTTCCAGCTTCTCTAGCCTTCTGCGCATGAGCGTGAACACTGAGCTTCAGTCCATTCTTAACCATCCTGTCCTGTCTAAGGTGGTATAGGGGAAACTTAAAAGCACTTGTGACAGTTCCACTGTCAAGAAAAATCAGGCAGCCTAAAATGAATTCTAGAGCTAGTTCCTTGAAGGGTAAACAAAATAGACAACCACCTAGCCAACATTACCAGAAAAAAAGGGGAAACACAAATTAATATAATTTTATTAGGAATGAAAAAGACAAAATCAAAATGTATACTGCCAAAATTCAGAAGATTATTGGTAGCCACTTGGAGAACCAGTACTCTATTAAAACAGATTTCAGAAGAAATGGATAGATTCCTAGATATATATGAACTACTGAAACTGAATAAAAAAGATATAAAAACTCTGAACAACCCAGTAATAGGCAGTTAATTGAATAATAGCAAAACCTGCCAACTAAGAAAAGTCCATATCCTGATGGATTTACTACCGAATTTTAAAAGAACTTTTAGAGACCATTGAAGACCAGTGCTTCTCAGATACTTATGAAATCAATAGTGACAGAGTACTCCCAAAGTCATTTCTAGAAGCTAGCATCGCTCTGATTCCAGAACCAGAAAAAGTAAGCTGAAAAATAGAACTACAGGATGTTCTCTTTAATGAACACAGGTGCAAAAATCCTCAGCAAGATTCTGGCAAACAGTGCATTAAATCTCAAAAAAGATCACACATCATGACCAAGTAGGATTCATCCCAGGGATGCGGAGAATATTTCAACATATGCAGTCAATAAATATAACATAATCACATTTCATGCTTGCATTACATGCCCCTCCTTTAGAAAACCTTTTCTGACAATCTCACAGCAGACTAGTTTGTATTTCTATCATGGTTTCTCTTCATATTTTTAGGATCATTCAAACTTTTCATCTCCTTTGGAGTTGCCCTAAAGACTGAGTTCTTCTAAGTGATGGCAAACCTTTCAGAGCTTTCAAGATGACTTAAACAGCCTGCTGCAGCACGCATGCTATAGGTTCCACCACCACTATCCTAAGGGTTGATAGGATCTGATAAGTTGATTACCTGTTCTTGACATACAGGAGGCTCTCAGTAATATTCTGTGTGTAGATGAATGCACACACACTGGATGCTGGATGCAGATGCCTATAAATCCAGTGACTCAGAAGGCTGAGGCAGGAGGATCATGAATTTGAGGGTATCCTGGGCAGCATAGTAAGACAGTTTTTCAAAATAAAATTTTAAAAGGCTGGGGATGTAGCCCAATGGTGGAGCACTGTATGGCACATAGGAAACCCTAGGTGCAATACTCAGTACTTAAAAAAAAAAAAAAAAAAAAAGCTTCAGTGTTACTTAGAATTTGTTTAGCATTATTTTAGCAACTGCCTTTATTTATGAAGTTGTTTTTTATAGTGAAGCTGCTGAAGCTCAGAAGCTGATTCTGTCACATTCTAAGATGCCTTCAGAAGACTCTGCATGCTGCCTAAATCAGTCTTGAGAGATTGGTGAGTTTCACTAGATGTCTTCATTTGAACTCAATAATAATTTTCATTCTTGAGTAAAAAGGTTACTGAAAAAGTAATGGAAATCCACATATATTTTTTTATAGCAATTTCTGAAATTTCTCAAAAGTTACTGTTCAAAAGTAAAAATTACAACTTCTTGTCTTTTCTGTGAGATACAGGAAGATAATTTTCAAATCACTGAAAAGTAGAAAAAGAATCATTTACTTCCTGCCAGATTTTAAGTTCAGACATAATGTATCTGTCGCTGAGAAGGGACGGTTACCTACCTGTAGTTCCAGTATACAAGTGAATTTCCATGAGGAGTCTGCATACTGCTAAATCCAGCCTCCTGTCTAATTTTGTGTGGTTCATAAGCTAAACAACAGTATAAAATATTTTTAAATGGCTGAAAAAAATTCCTCAAAGAATACTAATTTGTAACATAAGGGAGTTAGGTGAAATTTAGATTTCATTGTTCACAAAGCTTTATTAGAATGTAGGCAGTTTTTAAAAAATTGTTTTGTGTATGGCTGCTTTCAAGCTATAGTGACAGCTAACTGGTTGCAACAGAGTCCCAAGGGTCCAGAAAACAAAGTAAAACAAAGAGCAACAGAATGTACAAACAAGTACAAAAAAAGTACTATAAGGACGCTTTCTGAGTAAGTTAGTTGATCCTTCTTGTTCTGTGCAATTGGAGAAGTATTTATAGTTTGACTGCAAGGATTTAAGAGATGAGTCAGGGAAACTTCCAGGGAGATGAGAGTTGGTTCTAGTTCTTAGTGACTTCTTTGTCCTTTTTTCCACCCTCGAAAATTTAATCCATGTACTAGTAGATTAATGTGTACTTTTGTAAATCAAGAGAATTGGATTTTCCTATTATTTTTCTTTTGAAATGTCTGTATATGAGAATAAGAAAGGAAATGAGTATAGTATTTTCAGTTTTACCCAAATTTTAATGTTATCTTAATAATCTTAAAACACTTAAAAAAGGCTAAATATACCTTTTGTACAGTTTGTTTTTTTACTGATGTATAAAGAGTGCCTTTGGGCTGAGGATTTAGCTCAGTGGTTCCTGCCTTGCACGTGCAAGGACCCAAGTTCTCTCCATGGTACCAAAAAAACAAAAAGAGTGCCTTTTATTTTTAAATGGGAGAACTAATGTATTATTTGGGAACTAGTTGACTAATTGTATCAGCACTAGTGCTTCAAGGATGAAGGTACACTATCACTTTGGAGGCTTAGAGGATAATGTTAAGGAACTCTACAGACACAGGCAGGTTAAATAGTGTATTAGATAGAAGACCACGATTTTAATATTTACATTCTTTTGTTGCTCTAGAACACTTTCTAGTTCATGTGGTCTTGAGAGCACATTCGTCACTATATCCAGTTGCTTCATTTGGATAAAATAGGAGAAAATAATAACTTTGCTGTCTGAAAACAGGAATTTTAGGATTTGCTAAATTGTAAATTTCCTGAGTAGATATCATGAATGTTTGTTTAGTGCTAGATCCCTCAGAGTTAGTATAGGTAGGCATGTGTTTGTTGAGTAAAGGAACAAGGTCTGTTTTAGTTCCACTCTTTTTTATATCTGCACATAATTGCAGTAATTCCAGTTTCTTTAAGGATTGGTTTGGGGTATTTTTGTTACCTGGAGGAAATTTTTTATGAAAACGGTAATTTTCTATAGATACTTTCTTTATAGATAACTGTCAAATCATTGGCCTTAGCCAGGAGTGTGAATGTACGCTTTCAACCCCAGCACTCAGGAGGCAGAGGCAGGAGCATCACAAGTTTGAATCCAGCCTGGACTACAAAGTGAATTCATGGCTGGCCTGGAACCTGTCTTTAAAAATAAAACAAAATTGGTAGGAAATGGGTAAAAATGTAATGGATAAGTCCAAATATAGAAAGTCTGTCTGTTTGACTGCTTAGGATTTAGAATTCTGGGTAGAATACAACAATCAACAATTTAAAGATTAAAAAGTAAACAGTAGCAGACAAATTAAGTCAAAACTTTAAGAATAGCTTTGTAGTGGTAAACTTGTAAATTTTCCTTTCTATGATCCAGCTTTAACAGAATGGGGCTAGATTGTAGCACTACACACTAAGTAGAGCACTTGGCAGGAACTCTAAGAGAAACCTCTTATTTTTAGCCAGGGGACAAAGAAAAGTGAGCTCCTCCATTTTCTGTTCCACCTACCCTGAGACCACCTCTACTTATAAAGTCTCATTATTATGGTGGCACAAATGCTTAACCCTGAGAGGCAAAAATGCTCTTTCTAACCATGGGAATTTGGAAAAAAAAAAAAACCCTAGAAAGCTGGAGCATGATTTCATAACCCTAGAAGGAAGACAGCCCTAATGGTATATCTGAACCCTAAAAGACCCCACTTCATCCAGGCAACTCATGCTCAGAACAGACCCAAAAAAACATAGCCAAGACTTAGTGAATTGGACTACAGTATAAACCATGGCTCAAATCCCGATGGATCCTTGAGTAATGCATGCAGAGAACGAACCTGAACAGCAACATAAAAGCTTTGAAAACCGAGCTTACATTGGAACTATTACCCACAAAAGGCAAGGCAGAACTTGCGGTCTAAACTTAATAAAAAAATCAGATTCTCTAGATGTTAATAGAACCAGAGCTCATGACTAATTCAGAATGTCTAGGATATAATCCAGAATTGCTTGGCCTACAAAGAAATGGGAAAATCTGGCCATTTTTGAAGGGAAAAGGCAATAAACAGATACCAAGCCTGGGAAGATCCAAATGGTGGAATTAGCAGAAAACATCTTCCAGTAGTTAATCCTCATGAGATGAAAAAAACTTGAAATGAATGGACAGACCATGAGTTCATGGGATTTGCTTCTGATAATTCCAAATCTTCCCATGGAAAACAGAAACTGGAAAACAAAAAGGAATCAAATAGAAATTTATCACCTGTCTGTAATCCCAGCACTCAGGAGGCTGAGGCAGGAGGATTTCTGTGAGTTCGAGACCAGCCTGGGCTACATAGTGAGTTCCAGGTCAGTTTCAACTACATAGTAAGACCCTGTCTCAAACCCCCCCCCAAAAAAAAAAGAAATTTAGAACTGAAAAATACAGTATATGAGATACTACTTTACTGCATGGACTCAGTAGCAGAATAGAGAGGACAGAGGAAAGAGTCAGTGAACTTGAAGATAAATCAGAAGTCTCACTAAGTCTTGTGTCATCTATATCAAGATAGAGTATCTTATTTGTTCTGTAATACTTGTTAAGTCCATGTTGCACGCTGTGAAACCTAGTCACAGGCCTTCTGGCTGTCAGATCACTATGCCATCAACACATCATAGTCCTTATAATTAATTCTGCTCACATGCTGCAAAGATCTATCTGTTCAGTCTGAGCATCTGCCTCACCACTTCCTAGATTCAGCATCTTGTTTTGCTGTTGTCCCAGACCTTTTCATTGCATCATAATGACTAATCAGTCAGTAGAGTAAAATTATAATTAGTCATCTAATGAACTAAATATACTCACATGTATGTTTTTTACTTGAAAGCTTTGAAAGTAAATAGGGGCAGCAAGGTGAATGGAAATGGGCAACATGTATAAGTCAGATTGCAAAATATTTTTTTATTGAGTTTATTGGTACATTTTAGGTATACAGTACAGTTACATTCATTATTGGGATCTTGTACCTTTACATGACAGGTCTTGGTTCTCATTTTTTCCCCCTTGTCCCTGCCCTCCCTTCACCCCCTCCTGCCCTCCCCATTTACAAACACTTTATTTCCATCTTTTCATTTTCTCACATTTTTTTTTCTTTTCCCTTATTACCCTTCCCCTACCCTTCCCACTTTCCCTACACCTTTAGCCCTTTTCTTCCCATTTCACAATGTCAGTTATCTCATTAGGATCTTATGTACAAATCTTACATCTTAAAAGAAATGAATTTTGTCTTACATACAAACTCTGATGTAATGATTATTTTGGTAAAGAAGTGCTTGATAGTGGTTTTTTCTGACTAATCTGTGGTTCAGAGTGCTTATTTGAAATAGTTTTCAGATGGTCATGAATTGCTTGCCCCACTTGGCCACACAAAAGCAACTTGGCAGTTTACCCAAGTTCTACTAAATCAAAACAATTGTCTTTTTAATGAAAGTGATTACATTGTGAATACTCAGGGCCTTGAAAGTGGATATATTTTGGGTGGTATTTTTAAGTGACTCTAACTGGCCTCATTGGCCGTATGTCAAAATATCATCATTGTATTTGTGCGCTGTTGAATGTATGTATCATAAGGAAGCTGCAAGCCAAATATTTTTGAAATTCTACTTAATCATTCCTAACAGGTCTATGGAGTATTCGTGACATTAATGAAATTCTATATTTCTTTTTAGATTGATAAAATTTTTTCTCTTGTCCTGGAGAGCTGTCTCAGAACTTTATACACATCTGGCTTTTTAAAATAATACATTATTCCACAAAGTTTATGATTTAATCTTGTTTGGAGATCTGATCGACACAAGTTTAGTCACTTCTGTATATGACAGAAATTAAATAAATAAAAGGGAAAATAGTTCTTACATTCTTCTGGATGTTAACAAATTTTGTCATTTAGAAGACTACCTATAGACCATGTTACTACATAAAGTAGTGACAAAGTTAGATGTGGTTGATTTTTTTTTTTTTTTTTTTTTTTTTTTTTGTGCCAGGGATTGAACTTGTGCCCTTGTGCTTGCAAGGCAGGCAGCAGAACCACTGAACCAAATCCCTGGCCCCTGTGGTTGAATTTATGCAGCCTGAATATCCACATTATTTTTCAGTTCCCTTGAAGAAACATAGTACAGATAGTTCAGAAGTTAGCAACTTAATTACGTACAGGTTTAGTCTTTTAACTATTAACAAATCAAATTATTCTTTGATGTTTTAGCTTTCATCACAAAATTATTGCTTTCACCAAAAAGAGACTTCTTGATTCATGGTTTGTGGTAGTCAAAACAAGGGC